GAACAAAGGACAGCCAAACGCTGCAAAAGACCAACATGCTGAACGTGATAAACTTGGCCTCGTTGAAACTGTTGGGCAGCTTCCTGGCTTGGAAAGCCATGTTAAAACTGACACTAGCCAGGAAACCCATGTAACCCAGGACACAGTAAAGCATGATCACTGAGCCCTCATTACATTCCATTATGATTTCCCCCGTCAGTGAGTGCAGGTCACTATCTGGGAAAGGAGGAGAGGTACTCAGCCAAACTATGCAAATTCCCACCTGGATGAAAGAACCCAAAAGGACAATAGAATTGGACAGCCTTTTCCCTACCCATTTCCTCATTCCAGAGCCTGGTTTGGTTGCCATGAAGGCCAAAATCACCGTCATGGTTTTTGCCAATACAGATGAAAGGGCCACTGAGAAGATAATGCCAAAAGTTGTTTGCCGGAGAAGGCAGGTCATCTTTTCAGGTCTTCCGATAAAGAGGAAGGAGCAGAGGAAGCAGAGTAGAAGGGAGAAGAGGAGGATACCAGTGAGGCTCCGATTGTTGGCTCGGACTATAGGAGTCTCTCGATACATCCAAAAGATTCCAAGCACAAAGGTTGTAAGCACAGAGAAAAAAAGAGCTAGTATAATAAAAAGGATTCCTAAAGGTTCTTCATAAGAGAGATAGATCAATACTTTGGGAATACATTGATTGTGAATCTTGTTGGGATACTGATCTTCCGGACATTTCATGCAGGCATCCATATCTGGAAAAAGAGAACTCTTTCAATATATCAAGACTTCTTTCAAAATGTATGGTATCTGAGCAATTTTGGTCCATCTCAGATACTTAATGAAAATAGAATAGGAATTCTCCTTTTTCTTTAATGCATAAAGATGTAGCTATCTCATATATTACACTGACGCCTGAGATCAATCATTCATTAATTTAATCAGACTACAATTATTTTTGCTATTGTTCATCTTGCTGTACTTAAATAAATAAGAACACTGGGCTGAATTTTTTCTGGTCAGTTAGCCAAACTGACTGCTATCTTTATCCTACCTATTTTGTCAGAGATCTGCCCTTCTGGACATCGCACACAATCATAGCAGCAAAATTTCTCTCCTTCTTTCTTTTTTCTGCTGTAACCTGGATAGCAGTGGTCATTGCACACAGAGAGAGGCAGCACCTAAACAGAAACAGAAATGGAAAAACAAACAAACAGGGAAATAATATGCCATATATTGTTGAGGGGAGGGAATTGGGATGGGTTGAGTAATATTATCGAAGTAATCCTTATACATTTCCCATGCCCCTGAAAATAGGCAGCCTTAAGGGCTGTTGAAATTTTACTACCTAGACCTTAAGAATGGGAGAAACTCATGCTTTTACAAAATCTGACTCTATTTTGATTGGCCCTCACTGATATATATATAGATATAGAGAGAGATATAGATATAGATATATAGATATACTGCTATTTCTGAAGATGGTTTGAAACCCGATTAAAAACTTGGCTGTCCGTATTCTGTTTGAGGATGGAATATTTCAACAGGTAAAATCAATTTGGCACTAGTTACATTGACATTCTATATGTTTCAGGTACCATTGAAAGTATGTCTTTTAATCTGCCCTGGATAAAGTCTTATTAATGCATAGTAGAATATACTGAATAAAATGAATATACTTCAGCACATGGAGGTTCAAGAACTTTAAACATCAAAATTTAGACTTTTTCAATCAATGTCCAGAATTTGAGAATTGTTTCAAAAGACATGTTGCCTTTGTTTTAGTTTAGACGCTGTAGCTTCTTCTCACCTGGTTAAAGCTTCTGTGCCAAACAATTTGATTGTTGTTGAGAGTTAATTCTCTGCCTGGTGAAGCCTGAGGTTCCAATGTTCCAACCTTGAGACGAGCGAAGGAATTATTGGGGAAAGTCACCCAGTTGATAACCTCAAAACCCGTAATTGATTCTCTGTTTTCATCAAAACTAATAGTGTCCCCCATACTGTTGTTGAATAACATGTTCTTTAAGAAATGATGAAACTAGGTAAAAAGAAGAAGAAGAAGAAGAAGAAGAAGAAGAAGAAGAAGAAGAAGAAGAAGA